TTTTTCTGAAAAGTTTCTTTATATTTGTGTTTAAGATGTCTTTTGTGTCAATAAAATATTAATTGTTAAAACTATGTAAAGAATTTATGATTATTGTGTAATTTAAATGGATGTGTTGCTATGGAAGATATATATATCAATGGGATATTTAATACAGTAAAATTACACGTGTTAGTAGTAACCTTATTTTGGTGATGTTTTGTGCACAGGTTATTGCACTAAATTATGATTGTGCTTATAGCAATTTCTGTATTGCATTGATTTCTTGATTATTAATGCATTAATTTGTTAGAAATTGATAATGTGGTATTATTCAAATGCACTATAATAAGCACAACAAAACACGTATCTTGACAAAATAATGCATCCAACGATCATATTTCTTTTCACGTTTTGTCTTCTTCCTAAACAAGGGAAGACTTAATGAATATATAGGAGCTTTTTGTCGTAACTTGTACAGCAACAGTCTTAACTGATTAAAATAAATCAAGAAAAACATCTATCAGCATCCTGATTGTTGGCCTCAGCTGTTCACTGGCTTCCAACACTAACATAATGAAAGGTCCATTTCACATTTTTCAGACATGAATCTTTTTGAACATGTGTCACTCAAAGTATTAAAGGACCCCTTATACAATAACGATAGGCTTTCTCAACAAACAATGTTCGTATAAAATTTCTGCTGCATTTCAATTAAGCATAAGTAAATATGTTTAAAAAAACTTGTTTAATGTTAAAAGGGTGATTGTGTGAATGATTTTCCGAAAAGCTAGTTACAAGGAGGACGTTAAAATAGGTTAGCGATAATACAAGTTATTTTAAAGAAAAAAATTTTTCGTAGAAGTCATTTTCCATTGGCTGTAGTATGAAGTAGATACATGTTAGTTGTATTTTAACTGTTGTAGTAGTAGTCACTATGCCTAATTGTCTTCCATTGTCAATCAAAATGTAGTGTCAGTCGTAGTGAATGCTTCAATAAAATGATAACTATAATCTCAGTTCGTGTTTGGGTTAGTCTGTTGTGTAAACACATTATCAAAAGGTGACCGAAATGGATATTCTTTGAGAAAAAGAAATAAAAACAGATCAATTTGTTATCATTTTTAAATACCGATGGTTTGTAAATTAAATCATGATCGCGGTGATTCCGTCCTCAAGACCCCTGACAGGGATTTAGGGTGGTTGTCTGCGATGATAGTCCCCTTTTAAGGAAAACTTGCGACGATGACAAGCTGAAAAAACTAAGTGAACTGGAGCTTTCTATCAAGATTTGATTTTGACAAGCGACGGGATAATGGTTCGAGAGCTGCGACTTTCTAAAGCTTGTTGCATTTTTTCTTCTCCTTTTGATCTCATTTGGAAATATATCATTGTCTGTTGAGATAAGAAGTGCTATGAGTTTCTATGCTCGGTAATATGCCGGAAGGTTTCTTTTGTTACTGTCTTCGTGGTATATGAGGTAACCACAACGATGGAAGCTCTGGAGTGGACCATCACCAAGTCACTATGTAGTTGGCTAGGAGTGCCTCAGTGTTACACAAACCTTTAAATCACATCAGTCAAGCTTCAGATCCCCATTTATTTTACACGTGGAGGTGTTCAATGTGATGACAGAAGGACTCTCAAGAATGAGAAGACCAGGAATGCTTGGATGGAGACGGATCGTATGGCAGTCAATCAAACAGAACTGATATACAAGGACATTGTGGATACAATGTTTAAATGACTACAGGGATTTAGGAACGGTACAGATACAGCGATAGGAGGCAATGCATATCGCTAGAACCAGAAAGATGGTTCAAGATGACATCAGCAAAGTGGTGGAAGAGATCAGGAAGGCAAAACAGGTGGACACGAGGACTCGGGAAGCATGGGCAAGGTGTGAAACTACAAACAGAAGTTTGAACTTTCCCGATATCTGTCATCTCGGTCCATGTTGAATCATCTGCTGTCATCTACAACCTAACATTCAAGATGGACATTTTTATGGCAGACCAGGAACCCCAGTCACATCCTTTCTGCTTGCAAGGCCGCCGCTCTCACTCAGGGACAATACAGTTAGAGACACGACAAAGTCAGTGTTGACACCTTAGACACAGAAATAACAAAAAGAGAAATAGAAATTATTTGGTTGAGAACCGTTCATCATCTTCACATGTTCAAGAGAAGTATAGGACTGTCAGCAGCAACTCACTAGACAAGAATCCTGAATTGTTCGGTGGAGTAAGGAAATGGGGTTGGATCTGATCAGAAATCTGTGTCTCCCTGACATCGGCCTTACAAACATACGCTATTACGAGGCGTTCTAGAAGAAGGAAGCAAAACATAGACTCGAAGAAAAAGTAAAAGCAACAGGTAAGGTGCGATTATTCTAAATGGAGATGGATGCCGAGGATTTCCAGCAGAATACATGTGGGGAATGTTCTCGGCGCTTGGGATTAAGAGAGATATGAAAGTCGCTGTGGAAAGTCTGTTGAAGAACGCAGCTAAATCGTCCACACATTTCTGAAGAGACGATTGGATTTGGAGATGAAATCCATCCACAGCCAGGCAGTGATCAGGCCACAAAAAGGATATTACAGGCTATGAGTCGAAATGTCTCAGGAAGGGTGGACCTGGCTGCTGAAGATTTGCAAAATCGTGCATTGTTGATCGCAGGGTCGAATTATATGTTGACACGTGGATATTATCTCGCTATTTTCAGTTTTGGTCGCTAAACGCTGGTTTCATTTTTTTTAGAATATAAGGATTTCTCCTGTTTCACTCCATAGATTCGTTCCATAAAGCGTAAATAATCAGTGCTAGAAAATTCCCTGATCCTTTGAAGTATTTAGATTTAAGCATTGGCAAATATAATTAATTTCAATGTTATTTCTTGTATACTTTTAAAGCAATTAAAAAAATCTATATTAAAAGTGATATTGCGCAATGCCACATTGACAAAAAGAGGCCCATTGAAGGAGTAACCAGTTTATTTCACTGTTTCACCATTTTGTGCCCATAATTCTCTACCCCTAGGAAAGTAATTTTTTATATTGCTATGATAATATATGATAAAAGTAACATTAAGCTATTGTATTGTTCGTTTGTAATAAGCCGTGAAATAAATTGTCATTCAAACATACAGGGTTATGTCAATAGAACTGGAACTAGAACAGGATTTCTTAATTACCTGTGTTACTCGAACAACACTTTGATCAGACACCTGTAGGAAAATGCTTGTTAAGGTGGAACATTTTCAATAGACTGACACACGAGTACGTGGTGTTAAGTTACGTTAAACATTGCTGCCTTGGTAATCTTGAACACAACACATCGATTTTACTACCGCGATGAATCCAGGGTTCGGCAATGTTGTGCACCAGGCCAAACATCACTTAACTGGCAAGGCAAACACTGCCCATTTTGAAGAATGAGGCGAGAAGGGGTTGGGTAAACACTTCACTCAACCACCCACATAACTAAACGATAACGAAAACCCAGTAGAAATACTTCCCCAAATAGTACTAAAAATTACGAAATATCATTTGATGTTTTGTTTTTTATTTAGTTCGTATTAATTTTCCGTTGGCTAGATGATTCATATCCAATTTAAAATTATATCGTATCTCACTGCAAAGAAAAAACAACAAGAAAATTACTATAGGTCATAGTTTTCATAATTAATAACTTGTAGACTATGTCCACTATTTTCTGGTCTTAAGAAAATAAAGTTGGTTATAAACTTAACATAATATAAAATCACAAGGTCATGTATGCTTGAAACTGACCCTCTATGTATGGAAGTATGGTACATATCTTTACGTACTCCGAATGACAGTGAGATCTCCAAGGTCCCAACTCTGACAATACTTTTCTTATGACTGAACAATGAATTTTTTTTTAGTGTTTTCCCTGGGGACAAAAATTCTTCGGTAGCCAGGATTATAAACTGAATGATGTAGATATCAATAAATTTAAATGCAAACTGAAGAACGTCAACCGGTAAAAAACCTCGTTTGATCACAATGTATATATACACATCGACAACCATGTAACACTTTCGACTAGTTTTGCTTTGAAACGTAATTTTAACACGTTTTAATTCAATTAATACCATGTTATCAGTGTTAGTAATCCACAGAAATAATTATTAATGGGCACACATTTAGTCGCACAAAGTGTACAAGTGAAATTCTCTAGTGTCTTATAAACATCAAAACAATATAAACGAACATTTTTGGAATGTTATTTTCGCATTTCGCTAATTCGCCGCGATTATTTTCTACAAAACAGATCAAGCTATGCTACAGTGTATACATCAATAGCTGCTTCCGACTTATATCTGATTTAGCGACGGTTAACTTTCCTAAACTTGTTTGATAGCGACACGAGAGTAAAAATGGTTTACAAAGTTGCATCACAGAGTCCCCATAGCATTGTAGCATAAAAAAATAACACGGATTTTTTTTATCTCGTTTAAGACTAAAACTCGAATTCACAAAAAAAAAAAAAAAAAAAAAAATCTTTCACAAATATATTTGTAATAAATTTACGTCATTTGATATAAAAAATCATTTCATAAGATAAACGAATTTCACAAAAGTTTCACAAACAAAGATATACATTTCTATAGATGTAATATAATAAATTTTTATGCTTCACATAGATTTTGTAGACAATCTACAGATATATATTACCTTCTTTACGAATACATAACCATAAGCTGCATAAAGTATAAAAAAAATCTTTTCTCGAAGCTATGAAAGTTAATAAATAAAACATTGCACTGTAAAATGGAATGCTAAAAGCATTTGGCAAAATAGTTGAACGGTTTCGCTGTTCTCTGCTTCATTTGATGTATGTCCAAAAAGATTTTTAGGGGTAAAAACTCGAATCTACCTCTCTTTCAACATAGTTGCTGTTGTTGAGAATGTTTCTATTGAAATTGCTGTAGTCAAATGAATATTAATAGTTTCTGGTGAACACTTGTTCCATTTCTTCATAAAGTCATTGTTGTATTATTCTGTAATGTATTTGAAATGTATTCCGAACGGTCGAATATGATATAGTAAAAACTCGTACACATACATATTGTCTGGACGTACGTGATGGAAGGTGATAGCATATTCGCTAATGGTATCCGTACCCTGAAAATAAACAACATTAAAATATATCAGCATATCCGTAATTCATTCTAATCCATTTTCAAATTAGACACAGATAATTATACCTATTGTGCGCATAACATGTCTGAATAAACTTGAAATGTGATATGGGAATACATAAAAACAGAGTATGAAAAAAATATATCAAAATTGATATCAGCATTTCATTTCAGTTTGATTAACTTGGTTCATAAATAATAGATACAGTAATATTTGTGATTGATAGTTAATTTACATCATTCGTTTTTATAGATAAAACAGCCGACTAGTATATTCAGCTTTTAAAATTTTATTACAATTATAAAAAAAAGTTGTTGATAATTGTTTAAAACATTTTCATTTGGTTGTGAAATAAACTCGCTATAGATACATACATTTCTAACATCAGGCTCCCATCCTCTGTGTCCGTTTGGATATCGTCCCATTAAGTGGATTTCTGGTGCAAAACAGTGAAAGCGTGACCGTCCCTTAGAATCGGTGCTATTACGTAGTTTTATACCGAGGGCTTCCATACATGCACCTACATCTACATCCTCCCATTCGCCAGTCTCGTTACATTTACCGGTGTTCAATCCATCCCTGACGAATCTGGACAAGGACTCTTTGCTTAACACATAACCAGCGCCTCCACTGTAATAGCCTTGCTTTACGTGACGTTGAAAACGCTGTCCTAGAAATATCGGATCTTTAGGGGAATATTTTGAAAGAAGATATCTTAAATTTTCTACAACAACAAATGTATCATCGTCTGCTTTTAAAAACCAGTCAGCATCGTTTAAATGATTTTCGTATACATATCTGAAAGCTCTCATTGTTTTGGTTGTGAGATGTTCACGTCCTTCTGACACATTGACCCCAACAGTGGGAAATGTCGAGTTCTCTTTGGAACTGATGTAAATTACTTTATTACAACGTTTTGCCCACGTGTTCTTCACATGTCTTGCTTTCGATTCTAAGTTTTTCGGACATGTTAGGACCCAACAAAGTATTCTAACTTCTTTTTCCATTTGTTTAGCGATCGTGTAAGTATCTGAAAAATAAAATGAAAGAAAAGAATCACACCGATCTTCTTTCTCCATTCTTATTTAATGTTTTCTTAAATGCATTCTTAAAAACAAAATTATCAGTGGCTGGATTCATAATCATTGCTGTTGCAATTAGGAAACTTGTGAATTGATGAAGCTGTTCCATGAGGAAATCGATGTAATAAATCTTAAAATGAGAAATAAAATATGACAGTGGCATTGCGCGACTATCTAAACAATTTTCTGCCAAAATTAACATATGCATGAAAATTTAATTATTGTGACATTGCACCTCCCCATTTCTGTTTTTGACATTTATTGCGGTCAATTATGGCTTTCCTCAGTCGCCTTCTTGGTAGTAAAATTTAGGCCTGTAGCATCAATGCCAAGGAATGGAAGGACGAAACAGTCGTATAATTAATTGTTTCACTCTTCTGTATCTAACTCTAAATTTACTGAAACGTACAACTAACTTCTTTGTCTTCTTATGGTCTTCAGTAAAAGTATGATATATCATTCGAAGAATCGATGACAGTGTTGAATAGAAAAAAAAATCAATATCTTATTTGATATTTTTGATAAATCAAGTTTATAATTCAGCCTTTTCAACTCCCTCTACCTGCTCCTGCAACTGTTTGTTTAAAATGTATATGTTTACTGTTTACAGCGAATTTTCATTATTTCTACAATGGAAAATGCAAATTAAAAGAAATGATAACTTTTGCAACAAATAAATCCCTCTTTCATCAAAGTGTTGGTAAAACCTCGAAAACTGGGCTACCGAAAAAAACACCATTTACTGTATTCATTTATTACCTTCATGTAAAGGTGGCTCCGTACGGTAGACAAACACAACTGGATTGGATTTATAGGTAGGCACTACACCAATATCAGAATTCACAGTCATGGTAACGATGGTATATAATATCAGGCAGCATAGTAAGCTGAACAAGGTCATATAACGATGGTTTCCTGATGAAATAATAATAAATTATAAGAATAATAGATAATAGATAATGATAATGATAATAAAAGAATACATAAACAAAGAAGTCGTGTTACCTATTTTTAGAGACATCGGCATGAAATGTAACGTATTTGGATCGGAGTGTTCTCTGAACGCCAACATTTTTAAACAATAGGAAGGTGTTTATATACAATTTCCTATGAGCTGTCTTTCTGCACCTGAATTTGTTTTGGCGATTTAGCCGTGTTTCACACTAAACATTTCATATTTGGTGAATGAATCTTTTGAAAACCACGAAATGTTGTTATTTCATGTATAAAAAAGAAATGTTAAAGTTCATAATTCAACACTAAATTATACATAAAAACAACGAAGTTTTCTATTGGACGATTAAGCTCTCTACCACACAATAATTCCATAAATTGAAACATAATAATTGTGTAGGTTACGAAAATTACGTTGTTAATGATGCTAAACGTCATGATTTGAAGGTATTCCGTTAGCAGCAGACAGGGGATGAACAGCACTACTTTATCATGATTCAGGATGTGGAAATTACTACTACATTTTAAAATTGTACGACAAGCTACATAGTGCATCGTAAACTTTGGACAGGCAAGTCCGATTTCACTTACAGTCAAGAATGATAGATTATTAGTGAAGAATACATACTACATTATAAGGAAAGATGACATCTTGTTGTAATGTGCACTGTATGATGAATTATTGTTACACCATTAAATGCAAATAGAGTAAATATATGATCTAATGTATACAGAATTCTCAATTTCGAGAACATTTTAAGCCACTATGGGTAAAACTCAATAAGCAGATGTTGCACAATCATTTTGTTTTCTTATATATAATTTTTACTCACAAAAATGGAATAGTGGATTTTTTAAAATTATTCTTTGATATCAGTTTGCTACATGATATACAAAAATGATTATAATTTTGAAAAATATTTTAATACTATAAAATGATAACGTATTTAGAACAAATAACCATAAAATCATAGTGGAAACTAGTAGGTGTAACTGGCAATTATTCTCATTGTGATACAAACGATAGAGATGTCCTAAAAACATCAAATTGGAAGTTGAAATCAGGAAAAATATAAAAATATCAGTACTTAAGTCCAAATCCAATTAAGCTTCAAGAATTTTTTTAATTTCAGCTTTATTAGAACCTTGAAATAACTATTATATTTTTTATCAAAATAGGTTTTGATAATATGAAATGACATGTCAAGATATATGCAACGACATAAGATATGACATGATCGATATATGAAATGGTGTGATCGATTTCTTTGTATCTTATATGACTAAAGAGAACAGTATTAATAAAATGGTTTTAACTCTTAAATGATTATTGGAAAATAATCAATAATCGATGATTTGATAAATCTGATCAATCAATCAACCACAAGAAATTTACGAAATCAAAGCATATATATATATATATATATATAACTAAAAGAAGTATCATTACCTTGCAAAAGAAAAAAATAAAAAAAAAAATGAAGATGCAAGAGATAGTTGCTGAGTACATCAGATAAATTTACCTGTTGTTTAAGGCTGGGCAACTACATGGTTAGTTAAGTTTAATGCAGACAAAACATTACTGAGTAGTAGAAAACAAAACAAGTGTCAACTGTCTGCCTTAACCATGAATAATACAATTATAAAACACGTAAGCATTTTGGTGATACTCTTAACTCTGACCTTAGCTGGTTACATCACGTTGACGCCATATAAAAAAGGACACAAGCGTCTGTCAGTGATACGTAAACTCAAAGTTAGTCTTGAACGTTTCTAGCCAGATCAAATTTACCTCTCTTTTGTCAATATTAGAGTACGTTGATATTGTTTGGGACAATTTGCCCTTATACATTTTATTAAAAAGATTATTGAGTTAGAATCGTAACCGAAGCATATCGTGAAATATTAACACTCCCGCGAACTTGAAGCGGTATTGAGTTGTCGTTCTTGACTACAGCGCTAAGCATGATAGGCGCCCGCTCAAGCCGAATTCGTCGCCCGGACGGAGACACAGTTTCTTGTTATTCGTAAGTTCTTTCTCGTTTATTGTGAAGTAAGTGTACTGTTTTTATATCAAGAAATTATTCAAAACTCATATGCGTTCATATTTTAGCATGCGAAGCTCTGGATTTGTCGTGACAAATACCGGGGTAAGAAATTCCCTTTGTTGGAATTTCCCCGACTCTAAATTAGATCGAAATGACGACATTTGCTTTATTCAAGCGATTTCATTGGTTGGTATGATAAGATGATGGATAATCGTACTACGTCATTTTAAAAGTAATATGCGATTGGCTAAGAAAAAGAAAAATTATAAACGCGAAACCAGGGGAACCCCTGCAAGGCGTACTCTGGGTATACAGTCACGGACTATCTCCTGACTTCACGATAACCCTTTTTTGACGGTGAAATTCCGTTTGCTTTTAAATTAGAAATTAATTGTACATTATCATGAATACTTCAACTATAATTCGCCGAAAGTAATAGAGTTAATTTTTCATCGATAGCGAACAACGGACGGAAAACTCAACAAACTCGGGCTTTCATGCACAAGAAACTGTTCACTCGCCAAGAACAGTAACTCTGTATATATCTCAAAGGACAAGTATTTCCCGCTATGCTAGTAAACTTGTCAATATTGACCTTCTGTATAAGGACGAATAATTGGAATCTCTATCTGAACGTCGTGGAAAACGTAAAATAATACAAATTCTTAAAATGGTGCACCCTTATACTCCACTATACTTGTCTGATATCGGGCACCTCAAACATTCTGAAATCCATGGTCGGAATACCAGACAAGCAAAGGATTTATCGTTGATTAACATTGGAAATATGCAATACAAAAAATCCTTTTTCCGTCATGTATTAAGTTATAGAACAAATTACTTAAGAAAGGAAAAAAACACAGTTGAAATATCACTCGAATAGAAATCAACCTACCTAATTATTTCATTGTTCATGTTGTTCTGTAGTTGTGGATGAATCGAAGACAATTTTCATTATTTAATGGGTTTTTTTCTTAATTATAACAACAAGTTTGACACACTGTTATGGGGAAACCAGGCTTTAGATAATAAAGAGAATAAGTCATTTTCCTGTACAAAATTTTACAATTCATAGCAATCGTTTTGAATGAAATCAAATTATTATGTCGTACTACTGATGTTTTTTTTTTGTATATAATTTTATCTATAAACAACATTCCATCATTATTTATTTATGCATATGAATACATATGAAATTATTCACTATTTTTTCTCTTGCATTATGATATATCATAATCTTTGTACCTCTCATTAGCAAAGTGTATGTTGGTTAATTTATGGAAGAAGACTCTGTTTCACTTCAGTTTATTCTGCGCATTCTTGTAGTTCATTAACAATGAATATAAGATTGTTTAAATTAAAATAGTATTTCAGATGACCCTAGTAAGACATTCGCAAAATATAAAAAAAAATTCTTTATACTTAATCTGATTGATAAAACCGAGAAAAAGAATTATACTACAACACGTGGATAACCCTGTCCAGCTGTTGTTTTAATGGCGCAACGAATTTGTATCAGCAAATTTGTGAATGAATATATACTGATCAATTTTGTCCTTACAAATAGAAGGATGTACAAAAAAGTTTTATAAAGGAGTATGTATGATTTGGGTCAAATTTGGCCCCCTCTTCAAATTTGATGAAATACCTATATTGAGTAAGGATAGTAACGTAATTAATGAAGTGGGGGATTTTAGCGTGTTTTCTTTCTCGGCGCATGCGTAGCGGCACTTCAAATATAGGTGTCACACCAGTATTTTTTAAGAGAAAAATGACACAAAGCATTACAAAAAGATTCTGTAACTTTTAATTATCATACAAATATGCTGCTTAATATTGATGTAATTAAATCACTTATGGAAGTTATCAACTAATGGCTTTTGCTAGCAAAGGCTTAAATTAAACTTTTAATATATTTACATTTGGTACCTTAGCAACGAATTATATCACATAGCAACGGCATGGCTATAAGATTTATTACTGGTAACAACATTTTCTATCGTCCGAACTTGTGAAATGAAAACAAATCATAGCATATGTGACATAATTATATGGACTAACTTTTTTTACAAAGGTATTATAATGCAAACATTTGGGAAGTGACAATAATTTCCCTAGCAAATTTATTTATATGCAATCCGTTGTACGAAACTCAATTTTTCATCTTCTACTGAGACTAAAGAGTTAAACACATACCAAATAAGGAAGTAGAGCACATTGAACCTTTAAATAAATCACGTGATATTTAACAATGACAGTTTGGGATTACCTTAGCAAATATCACTGCATAACATAACAACTTGTCCTTGTCAGTATCCGTTCAAAGATTAAGTTCAAGTAGAGAAAACTGGATTATTTCGACATAAAGAGCATCTGTTCAAAAGGATATAGACTTACGGTTTATGCATACAACAAGGAGGGTACACCTAACGTAAGATTACTCATCGTAAAACGGCTTTTGATGAGTTTTCAAAATTGAAAGAGATTTCCTTTGTATTTTTGTTTAAAGCTACTGGTAGAGTCCAAAATCTGCTACATCTATCAGTATGCCTGGGTCCATTTTTTTTATAACTCTCTCTTTTCTTTTTGTTTCCGGATTTTTTTCTCTTTTATGATTTGAAATGACATTTCAGTCTGGATCTGTATTTCTGATTTTTTTAATCAAACATTTCAAAAGTCGATACAAAATTGTAAAGTCACTTCTTCCAAAGAAAATTCTGTAATAATAGAACATACCTTGACTTTGTCTACATCATTTCATATCCTGATCCTGTAGCCTTATATGACCATTAGAAGGTAAATTTCTTGTGCATAGAAAACTTCCGAAAATTCATCACTTATATATGAA